GGCGGCTAGGGTTTAGAGGATGGCTCTGATACCAAGTAGATAATACAAACCCTAACCCTATTAGGAGATCTCTTGGGCTTATATAGGCCCTACACAACTTACACATAACCCCTTACAAATATTACTAATGTCAACAAAATTCCTATCATGCAGTTGCCTGTTGGCGGCTAGGGTTTAGAGGATGGCTCTGATACCAAGTTGATAATACAAACCCTAACCCTATTAGGAGATCTCTTGGGCTTATATAGGCCCTACACAACTTACACATAACCCCTTACAAATATTACTAATGTCAACAAAATTCCTATCATGCAGTTGCCTGTTTCAGCTGGAGGGACCCATGACCTATAGGTTGTAACATCACCAGCAAGCATGCTGTAGACCGTAAGATTGTCTCTTTTGCAGAAGACTGACTTCTTGCCCCCAATTAATGCTGTTTTTTCTGGCTCAGTGGATCAATTGATTTACTAATTGAATGAAGAAAAATTCTAGACTAAAAAAGTTGGAGAATTAGGAAAAGCCTTGAATTACAGAGTATTTTCCTGTTGTTATCTTCGAAATGAGTGATCACAACTAGCCATTTTAGCTCCAGTTATTACTAAACCATAAGAAAGTCATGCTGTAGACTGCAAGATTGTCTTTTGCAGAAGAGTGACTTCTTGCCCCCAAATGCTGTTTTTTTCAGGCTCAGTGTATCAATTGGTTTAATAATCGAATGAAGAAAAATTCTAGACTAAAAAAGTTGGAGAATTACGAAAAGCCTCGAATTACAGAGTATTTTCCTGTTGTTATCTTCGAAATGAGTGATCACAACTGGCCATATTAGCTCCGGTTATTACTGGCTTTTTAATAACTGCGTGCTGGAATCCCAACCGGCATTTCAGTTTGATCCTTTGCCATGTATCCACTTACATGTTGATCTCGGGAAGTTGCATTCAAGGGGATGAAAGGATGTTAGTCTATGAGTACATGCCAAACAAGAGTTTAGATGCCTTCCTGTTTGGTAATTTGTTTCTCCTCTTTGTTTCTTCATTATGATGCTATTTTCATTATTATTTACTGTCACAAAATACTCCTTAATCATCATATCATGATCTTGCATCAGCTTGTCTGAATAACTGTTAAAAGTTCAAGTTAATTCTCAGCAAGTTTCAACTTTTCTTTTAGTTAAGTTTTCTTTCTTTTTCTTTCGGAATTTCTCTTATTAATTAAGCTCTACGCAGTTAGTATTGATCAAATTAGTGATGGTTTCATGAATACACATATTGAAACCATTTGTAATCATTCATGGGAATAATTAATTTATGATAGCTAAAGACAAGACGAATTCAGAACTGAAATTTGATTGATGTTAACGAACAATAGACTTCAATGTCTCTCCTAAGCCAAGAAATAATTTGCACAAAATAAATGCAATGATCTATAACCATATGTCCAATATGTCCTGAACTGAAAACTTACGTGCAGGTAGTATGCATATCTACTTTCGTTCATCGATAGATTTTCCACATTTGTTAACAACATTCAGATTCTATTAATAATTTTTTATGTCCTTGGTTTGAGTAGCAACAAACAACATTACAGATGATGTGATCACCTTAAAGTTGTGTATTCTAACTGAAATCGTAATTACACAAATATTGTCTCCTTTATTTTTAATATGAACAATTCTAACAAGTATCAACTCTCAAATATTTTGGTCAGACGGAAAAAAGCAGATGTCTCTGGATTGGGAAAGACGGTACAACATCATTCTGGGAATTGCTCGAGAACTTCTCTATGTTCATCAAGATTCTAGATTCCAAATTATTCATAGGGATCTTAAAGCAAGCAACATTCTCCTTGACAACGAGATGAACCCCAAAATTTCGGACTTTGGCTTGGCTAGAGCTTTCGACGGAGAAGAAACAAAAATAACGACTAAGAGAATAGTTTTTTTGGTCAATGAAAAAATTATATTCATTAAACCATTTTGTAAAGTTATTGTTATGGTAATCTACTGTCTATCAACAAAAATAATAGAAGATTGTCCCCACAGGCCTAATGGAGTCGCAATTCAAATCGACCCTTCCAAAAAGCCTAGCCAGAAGCCTATCGCTTTAGACGACACGAAGCACGGAGGCAGTCGGTCTTTCACCTTTGAGGCGACCCCTCATGAGTCCATCCTACTCCCCACTCGAGACGACTCCCCAAGGGCGACTCGGCTATTTCCCGAGCTATCTGACTGGACTGACGACTCACTTGTCTAGTCTACAAGTTACGAGAACAACCCTCTTTCCAACTCAATCCTGCTGGGGAAGATAAGGATCCGAGTCATCCGATTGAGCTATTTCCAAGACATACATCAACCACAGTATTGACCAGTCACATCAAAAGTCTCAAAGCCTGATGAAGTCTTAAATGCACAGGCGGCTCATTCTATTCCCAAGTCACTTCGGGGACATAATCGAGGCATCCTCTGAACTCAGACGACCTTTCCTCTGGTCGCCAGCTGACATCTGTAAAGCAATAAGCGGCTAGATCGGTCAACATGTCCTCTCTTCATCCTTTTCTGTCAAACCCGGGACATTATCGAGGCACCCTCTGTATTCAATGCCTCGCCCTCCAATCGCATCCTTTTCTGTCAAACCCGGGACATTATCGAGGCACCCTCTGTATTCAATGCCTCGCCCTCCAATCGCTAGTCGCCATCTATGAAGATAAGGACGACCCGGCGCCTCATCGTATTCTTGGCCATACGTCATCTAATCGATCCTAGGGGCCTTATTAAGACCATCTCGAGATAATGTCTCTTCCAGTCGCCAACCTACACGTAAAAGGATCACTGCTGACTCAGCCTCCAGCTCATCCGCCACCATCGCCCTCAGACACCTGACAAAGCCACGTGGCTATGCTCAACAGCCTATAAAAGGGGGGAAGGGGAAGAAAGAAAAAGAAGGAGAAAAAGAGGTTCGGAAAAAATTAAAACTCGAAGAGATTCTTTTCCCTCAAGTTTTTTACTAAATAAATTCTAAGAAGGGAATGTACCCTGCATGGACCTCAATGGCCCAGGGACTCTCCCCAAAACCTCCCTCAAACTCATCCTCTAACTTGACCGTCAGAGGTACCACGGGGGAAACACGCCCCGTACCCCGTCGTTCTAGATGTGTGCAGGTCATCAGTCCACCCCGTACGCTTAGTGCTAGGCATAAAGTCGGAGGAGAAGCAGGCCCCTTTATCCTTCATCATCCACTCTCGACAGCCAACCTCATCCCCACCGACTGTTTGTTTACGAGCATCAACAGTCTAGCGCCCACCGTGGGGTATGCTTTCTTTTCTGAGAAGAAATGCCCAACCCTGAACAGGGGCCTGGTCTTGTTTATCCTTGAAGCGTTATGGAGATCGCACCTTTCAAGCTAAACAAAGCCTGAAATCGCATCCTTCAAGCTAAGGAGGAATAGCCCATGGCTATGAGGAGCCAATGTGGGTGAAGCCCTTGGGGGTTCCAACAGCTTTCGGGGGCGTCATTGCCAACAGACACCCCGAAAGCCCTCCTGGAAAAGACACGCCACTATGGCGTGTCTAGCTTAAGGATGAAGCACATGCTTCATACCGCCGCCACAGACGAAAACCCCACCGCCTGGACAGCCAATAGGCCTGGGGTTGGATCGCAAGCCGAACCCCAAGGGTTATGATCAGATCCAGCATCACTCTAGCTCCCACCAACAGTAGCTCAGCCGAGCTCAGGAGCAGTGATCAAGTCTATGGCCGGCTCTTCGGACCATCGTCGCCTCTAGGGGAGAGTTCTTCCTCCACTCAGGGTGAGATTGCGGGGAAGATGGAAGGGCTCGCCATCTGGTCTTCTCAGGAAGATTAACAGCCCCAGCCCCGGCAAGCGCACAAAACCGCCAGAGTCAGAGTAAGACCTGGTGGTCGAAGCATGTACCTTGCACTTCCCCGACGAGAAGGCTCCTCCTCATATGGATGGTCCGGCCGTTGCTGTTCCTGGAGACACTATGGGAAACCATGATCCTATCAAATTTCAGGGAACAAAACTTCGGCATATGGGGGTCTTACCAACAAGAAGCCCCCATCACAAAAGTTGCCTGGGCTCTCTCCGTTGAGCTACATCTTCCAAAAAGCTCAAACAACGGAATATCGGCCATAATAGCGCAACCGACGGTGGACAAGCAAGATTTATTGAAAATCCTTATATCCACTGTCGACCAGCAAGGACCTCAGCAAAAACTCCGAGTTCAGAAAGGTCCTTAGCTGATGAGATGACGAATGTGCCAGCTACTCGGCGAAAACCAAAGCCAGACGGCTCGCCCTCAAGAGGAAGTATAGTACCCAACTTCGGGCACTCCTCAGTTTGGCAATAAAGATGGCCGATAAGGTAACAACCTGCTTTAGTCAAAACAGCAAGGTCTACAAGTGAAAAGAAAACAGCCAAGGAAGCTCCGTCTCGGTGCCCTTGTCCTCAGCCGAAGGATATCCTCGAAAGGCACCTAAACCAGAAGCAAGAGTTCGACACAGTCCGAGCACTAAGGACGAATGAGATGTAACCTGATGTATAGATCTCAAACAATCAATAAAAATTAACAAAAGAATTTTTTTTCTTTCTCAAAGTCCTTGGCACTTCCTAAAGAGTAAGACCAAGGCATGGCGACCGCTCGGTCGGATATTTCTCAAAGTCCTTGGCACTTCCTAAAGAGTAAGACCAAGGCATGGCGACCCCTCGATCGAATTCTCCAAAGCCTTAGTCAACTCTCAAGAATCCTAGGCGCGGCGGCCCCTCAGTTGATTTCAAAGTCCTTGGCTCTTCTCGAGAAGAAAAGCCCAAGGCACAACGACTCCTCAGTCGGTTACAAGACCTCGACGCCACCTCAGGATAGGCCCAACACTCGACGACTTCTCAAACAACAGTTTTGGCACCACCTCAGGATTAGCCCAAGGCACAACGACTCCTCAGTCGGTTACAAGACCTCAGCGCTACCTCAGGGCAGGCCCAACACTTGACGACTTCTCAGTCAACAGTTTTGGTGCCACCTCAGGATTAGCTCAAGGCACAACGACTCCTCAGTCGGTTACAAGACCTCGGCGCCACCTCAGGGTAGACCCAACACTCGACGACTTCATAGTCAATAGTTTTGGCACTACCTCAGGATTGACCCAAGGCACAACGACTCCTCAGTCGGTTACAAGACCTCAGCGCCACCTCAGGGTAGGCCCAACACTCGATGACTTCACAGTCAATGGTTTTAGCACCACCTCAGGATAGGCCCAAGGCACAACGACTTCTCAGTCGGAACAAAGTCCTTGGTACCTTCTCAGGGTAAAACCAAGGCACAACATATGGTCCGATTCCGTCTGCTCTCATCGTTCATATGGTCAAGTCCTTGGCACTTTCTAAAGAGTAAGCCCAAGGCACAACGACTCCTCAGTCGGAACAAAGTCCTTGGTACCTTCTCAGGGTAAAACCAAGGCACAACATATGGTTCGATTCTGTCTGCTCTTATCGATCATATGGTAAAGACCTTAGTACCTTAACAGTATTAAACCTAAGGCACAACCCTTTTGTCGACTCCCACAGTCGCCTTTTGACCTAAGGGGAAAATGAAGACCTAGGCCTCAACGTAAGTCCTAGGCACCCAACTTCCGAGTTGTCATTCAACCAAAAAGCCCTTGGCACTTCTTAAAGAATAAGCCCAAGGCAAAACGACTTCTCAGTCAGAATAAGCCCAAGGCAAAACGACTTCTCAGTCGGATAAAAACCCTTGGCACTTCTTAAAGAATAAGCCCAAGGCAAAACGACTTCTTAGTCGGTTAAAAGCCCTTGGCATTTCTTAAAGAATAAGCCCAAGGCACAACGACTTCTCAGTCGGTTTAAAGTCCTTGGTACCTTCCTAGGGTAAAAACCAAGGCACAACGACTTATCAGTCGGTTCAAAATCCTTAGTTCTTCCTACAGAACAAACCCAAGGCAAAGCCCCAAGGGGCCGACATTAACACCGAATACAACCTCTATGCTTCTCGACTAAACAAAGAAGCAAAGACGCCGATGCCTATGGTCTATGAAGGCCGACATGATTCTTAAAGAAGAGGACCGGGCCGAATTATAATGATGACAGGGTCATAAGTCTCAACAGACGGTTTGTAATTCTTAGAAACAAATGATAAGAAAAATCACTTTCTATTCAAAATATGTTTTTACAAAAGAGGCCCAACGGGGCTTATAAAAAGAAGAAAAGAAGAAAAAAAGTAAAATTGGTCCGGCTACCGAACCTCCTGAGTGGTAGCCTCGATCCTCCTCCTTATTAATCAGAGCCTCCACCACTTAGTGAGACACCCCTCTTTTTTGAGAGGCCTCCTGAAAGAACTTTGCCCCTCTGAGTCAATCCTTTTACATACTTCCATTGGGGGAGGAAGGACTGTTGCTCCGAAGTAGGAAGACGAGGAAGACATTTCCACCTCTAGGAATTCATCCCCATCTAGAGCCGTGGACTCCTGAAGGCCGAGATGGAGATGGAGATTCTCTAGGTCTCCGGCTTCGGGAGGGCTAAGGGCCCTCGACTCCAACATATTGTCCTGCACTTCGGGCCAACCCGAGCAGGACAGAATGTTGTCGGCGCCAAATACCCAGGCGAAGGACCTCCTCCAGTCCTCTTCCAACTCTGGAAAGTCATCATCCAGGTGGAAGTCACCTCGACAGTGGAGAAAATAGTGTGGGCCGTCCTCCGTGGACCTCACATTAACTACGTACCCGAGCAAATTAATACTGGGCACCACGCCCACCTCGGAGCAGGCATCTATAAATGCCACCAAAGTATAAATGGTATGTGGGTGGAATTGGTAGGGAAAACCCCTAGCGCTACAAAAACCTCCCTGACGAAGGGATGCAGCGGCAGGCGCAAGCCGCATTCCAGGTGCGCCCGGTAGAGAGGCACTCTGCCCTCGCCATGCATATGCACCAGAGTGGAGCTGTCCGGTGCTCCTATGGT